GTTTTAAATTATTTTTAAAATATCCAAGGCATAATGTGGTCAATGAATTTTGCTTTAAGTACAGATAACACTTAGGGCCTGATCACGTACTGTTCTACATGTTGGAAAGCCATTTATACGTAAGCAAAGAAGATGAAAACTGCTACGAGGTAGGTTGCCCCTTGCATAACCATAGATGCTTGCACCAGGGCGGATCAGGTGAGAATCAGGTAGCTGGGGTCTAGTTTACAATTTCCACCAAAAATAATTTCCATTTTATTATAATTTTAAGGGGAGGTCTATTTTGTGGGATAATGTACTTGAATAGTAATTTTGCTGTAAAATAATGCAAGACTAACTACAGAGACAGCTTTTCATGCTGTTATTTAAACCCACTATTTGCATTTATATTGCTTCATATGATGGAAAGTGTTTACATGGTGTTTAAAAATTTGAGATTGATGAACTCCTAAACATACCTATAGGGTTTGAGCAAAATGCTTCCTTTCTTTCTTTTTGTGTAGTAGAGTGAAAGACTTATGAGGAAAAAGAGATGTCATTGTAAAGTACTCCTTTAAATTTATGGAATATTAAACAGAGCACTAAATGAACCTGAAATAATTTAGACACTACCTAATAGTAAATCAAACTTTATGGTAGTTTCCCGACCCTAGTAAAGTGTGTCCAAACTGACATTAAAGCTGAAGTTTTCCAAGAATCTTGATTGAAGAAAGGTCTTCAACAGCAGCTCTTGGCTTGCATTTCTTTAAAAATATAATACTTAACATCCAAACGAGCCAGTATCTTGTCTAGAATTAAGAAGTGGATTCAGGACTTTCCAGGTGTAAAAAGGGTGTTGAAGTTTCATATCTACAACGTACAATCCAAGTTGAGCCTATTGGAGACGTGGTAGTCCTCCAAGAGCAAGGACCAGAGGTTCTTTGTGAGCCTTATCTTAATTCTCCTCTTTCTGGCTTCAGTTAGGTAAGTTATGCTCCTTTTTGTGTGATGACATTAGGCTGCTAGTCTCTTTGGATTTTTTCTTTGTACTGTAACATTTATAGTTCAGAAATGGTGAACCTTCAAAAGTGAATCTGTTTTTCCGTGTATAAAACATCTCACAGCATTTCATGCTTCTCAGCCTCCAAATGGAGTTATGTGAGATTCAATCACTTCACCCTGGTGCAGGAGCTGTAGTTGTTCAGAGGTGGGAGGGATGGGATTTGATTAAAATTGATTCTGAAATAAGAGCATCAGTCTTGCATATTTGGATCCATGCTGATTCAGCAGGGACTTAATCAATTATTTGGTGCTCAGCTGTTTCCAGCTGCTTTGATGAGCTCACTGGGAAACACTCCATGGAAACAACCAGGCCTGGCTTGTGTCAGGGAGGAGGTGGGAGCACCGGCAGTGGAGACCACAGCGGGGAAACGGGAATGAATGGCTTCAGTGGAGCCATGGTCAGGCAGAAAAAAGACTACAAGAAGCACGGAGGCCCAGGGAAACAAGGGAAATCTTTAGGTTAAAGCAGGATGGTAAGGAGTAAGGGGAAATTGGCCAAATACACAATGTCATCTCTCCGATTTATGACAAGGTTCGCGAGCAAAGCCTGGCGTTAACGTTTTGGGGAGAATTTCCAGTGCATAGACAGTGACATTTCTGAGCCAGGTGAAAAAATAATATTCTAAGGCTCATAAGGAGTAAAACTAAAGTTTTATCACAGACATTGGCCTTGTTCATCATGTGTAGCCATGACTGTAACCAGTTCAGCTGCTTTTCTTAATCTGTATCTGTACCTGGAATAACAGTTTCCCTGGAGCCACCAGTCTGCACTCATGGAATCATAGAATATCTCAAGTTGGAAGGGACCCGTAAGGGCCATCGAGTCCAAATCCCTGCAACTCATGGTCACTCATGGAGGATTTTGCCTTATCTGTATATTCAGGCAAACATGAGTCGACTTGCACAGGATACCCTGCCATTATTGGTTTGCTGCTTTATTCATTGAGAGAGCTTGTGTACATTTGTCAGTCATTTAAATCATTGCTTAAATCTTTCAGAAGACATGCTTATGTGCAAATACTTTTTAACATGTTGCATGCATTAAGTATTCATACTTCAGAACATTACCTTAAGATTGTCACAAAGCATTCGTATATATTGCTCTAACTTTGTTGAGAGCTTAGGTGGTTTATCCAAAACCTCTGAAGGAATCAATACAGTTTGCAGGATTAGGTCTCAAGAATATCTGCAGACCAGAAGCCTGATTTCAGTTTCTGCAGACCTCTTCTTCTCTCCATCTGCTCCTTCCTTGTATTTGACATGCAAGTCTGTTGCTCTATTAACAGAGAGATGCATTTCAAAAGTATGTTTCCAAATATGTCTCATTTGATATTTTGAGAAAATATATGCTGTCGTACAACCTCATAGGACATCATGGTATGTTCAGGCAAAGCATTTACACAAATGTTGCAACTTTCTTGACCACCTTTCTGGGTTGATTTATAGATGCAGTGATGAGCAGTGAAAAGTGGCAGCAGCATTGGCAGATCAGAGGCAGAAGCTACGTTAGGGTGGCATGTAAGGTTGGCAGATAAGGTGAAGCAGGCTATGGGGTGTGATGAAATAAGTGGAATCAAATGAATACTTTCCTTGGGCAGGAGAAGCCTGAACACATAGATGTACCCTCCAGGTTACAAGCTTTCAGCTGACACCTCACCTACAAAAATCCAGGACTCGGTGTAGAAGGACAAAGCACCCATGGACAGGCTAATATCTGTATATATGTAGGTGGCGGACAGAATCGGGAGAGATCAGGAAGCCCCGAGGGAAAGAGCAGCTGACATCTGTGGTGGTGGACGGAAAGGGAGCAGAGACCTGCAAGGGGAAGGCAGTGCTGTCAGGGTGGAGCCCAGCAAAATGGTCTCTGCTGGGGCATTTTTAGTAAGCTGAAGAACATTTCTCAAAGCCTGGGAGGAGATGGGAAAGGAGATGACATGTGACGCCGTGGGGGCCTGGATGAGAGATTTAGTTTTAAGCTTCATGAGGAAAGTGCAGATTGTGGAGATATTTTACACAATGCTGTTACAAATCCCGATCATAATTTGTACTCTTTGTGAAAAAAAAAAAAAAACAGAAAACCAGCTCAGTTTTTTTCAGAGACCACCATAAGTAGTGATGATGTCCATGGCTGTATTTTACAGCTGTGTGTATTCCCTGGTTACAGATACTGCTGAACAGCGTGAACTCATTTCTACAAACCTCAAGCTCGTACTTTTGTACCCAACGGGTTTCTGCCATGGGGAAAATAAATTCTTCTTAATCACCGCTGAGGCTTCTCCACCCCATTATTTTGGTTCACGTTGTTTATTTATAGGCACTCATCAGCATAATGTACTGTTGCCTACAACAGCAGGATTTGTTGGATACCTTAGGATTTTTTTTTCTACTTGCCTCTATGTCATTCATAGCGTTTTATATTCTTTTTCCATTTGCAAGAAGCTTGGCAAAGCATTACTGATATACTATCATAATTGCTTTCACTGAGAAAAGATAAGCTGTAGCATCAATAATTGATGAAAGAAACATCCATTTTACAGAATTTTAACAGGACTGAAAAAAGCTAAATGCATATGGACAGACACATAGCTATGCATACTTTTAATGCATCACACAAAGCTTGCAAAGGACGTGGTATTGGATGACTGTACAAACTTCAAAAAGGCCATGATGATAGTGTGTTTTCTCAGCCACTTTTAAACAGATGCTTCTAGGATGAGATGTTCAACTGCTGCGCAGTTAACACAGCTAGATCATGTGGCAGGTTAGAAAAATGTATTAATTGCAGGATGAATTGTGGATAAATAAATTGTATACATAAAACTGGAAATTATCCCGTATGCCATGATTCACTGTCTATTTCTGACATGGGGAACAGAGTTCACTTGAACAGTCTCACACATGCGTTAACTGGCTGAAAATACCCACTACAGAACGTTTATTTTACATTCAGATGTTATTTTCCTTTCCCAAAAGCAGGCAGGAAAATTGGAGCTGATCCCTGCATCAGCTGTCTTCTCTGCCTGTCCTCCAGCATGCAGGGCATGGGGCACAAGGGGATGTGGTGCCCCACTACTGAAGCTACCAAATGCTGACTAAGGCAGCATCGTTTGGGACTGCCCATCAGCGCCACTCATGGAAACTGGAAGTTTTTCTGGATTGAAGGAGCCATACCCAACTCCACGCTGCTCCTCCTCTATCGGTACTCAGGGGGACTAGAGAGTCTGGACTGGAATTTAAGGACTCTAAAGGATCATAACCTTCCATTTACTTACTAAAAATGGCATCGCATTGCTCACCTGTGCTCAACACTCTGCTCACCGCCTCTTGGATATGGAGGTGGGAGGGAAGAGTGCCACCTGTTTCCTCTGTTCAGAAGCTTTCATCCTTGTCTAAGTTCATTGCTTTTTAAGATCACTTACCCAGGTGGAAGAGCCGCACAGTTAAGCATTGCCATTATTGCAAAACTGTGCAAATGACTTTGGAAGAAAAAGCTTAAGAGAGAAGTTGTAGATAAGCTCTGTGATTCCGAAATAGAAAATTGTTCAGCAGGTCAGAACTGTTCTTGTGATTTTAGCAAACTTCACATGTAGGTAGCAGAGAGAGAATCCATCCCTTACCCTCTCCCCCCACCGCCAGCAACGTAGAGATTTCAGTGAACTACACCATCCTTTAAAACGCGGCTGATTTAGAGGGAGAGGAAAATGATTGGTTTTACCAAATACGGTTTTGTACTGGATGTTGGTAGTATGATGATAACCCTGTTTATGAAAGTATTTAAGTACTTGTCTGATTTTAAGCAGCTGAGTAGTGCCATTTTCTTCTAAGATTATCACATGCTTAAAATGAATACATGCTTTCTTCAAATATATATATGGGTTTGGAGATTTAAATACACCCACATTCTGCTGATAGAGGTCAAGTCTTTTGAAACAATTTATATTTCTGTTGTTGCCCCCTAGGTGGATACCCATGGAAACATTCTGCTAACGTCGCTTGAAATTCACAACGAGGTAGCAAGCAACGAGGTCACCACCAGCGTTACGGATGCCAGAAATTCAATGATATCCTTTGACAACTCAGGAATCCAGTACAGAAAACAAAGCTCACATCGCGAAAGCCTTGGAAGACGTTCGTCAGAAAGAACAGGCTCCCACAGCAAGAGGGGCCATTTACGAAGAAGGTCTTCGCAATTGAAAATAAAAATCCCTGATCTAACAGATGTGAATGCCATCGACAGGTGGTCAAGAATGGTGTTTCCATTCACATTTTCTCTTTTCAACTTAATTTACTGGCTATACTATGTTAACTGAGTGACTGAACTTTTTTAAAGGACTTCAATTACAAAGCGAAGTATACTACTTGCCTACAGAGTTTATATATATATTTATATATTAAAATATATATATATATGAACTTTTACTATGTAGACCATACTCATGTATGTGTGAATACGTATAGCAAAGAATTGTGTGTTTTTAAAAGCACACACTGCAAAGCAAAAGTATATGTATGCACACACACATGTACACATTCGTTCTGAGGTTATGGACACTTTAACATAGAATGCACTTCAGAGGAACTTTTTAAATTGAAAGGCAGGTGTCGTCAAAACAACAAGCCTTGAGAAAGTAAGTGTTGTATATTATCACTACAAAACTTTGATTGTCATAGAAGTTTTCAAACAGCTGTAATCGTGTATAAAGTCAGTATTTAGTAACATTGTTTGTAAATGCTGCCATACACGCTAATCATAAAGTGGTAGAGTTACACTGGTAAGTTTAAAATAAGTCATTTATATTGCCGATCCATCAACTACAATTTCAGCAAGCCAAATTTATTTTTCTTTGCTAAAATTTCTTGGGTTTATAGATGTCATAATACATTTGTTCCCAGTCCTGAACGGGCATCGTTTTTAATGATCTCTTGCTTTCTCTTCTGCAGTAAGCAAGCTGATCGTGGGAGTGTTGCTCTAGGTCTTTGGAGACATACACATGTTCATAATATTTCAAACAAGCATTTTAAGTGTCCATCAACAGCAAAATGAATCTTTTGTAAGTACTGTAAATGTACAGCACATTTTCCTTCCCTTGGACTGGTTCCAGCTGCCATGTCATTTTGAAAGAGAACAGCACATTTTTAGTATAATTTAGCTGAGAATTCAACTACTGTCAATGTGTTCTACATCTGCTGTAGATTTAAAGATTGTTATTCCAGTGAAAGCATAGAAGATGTCTCAGGTTATTTGCTACTTCGACATGAAACCATCTAGCTGTAGCCTTTTTTAAATATCCATTCACATTATTTAACATTCTTATAACATTGTATGTTAATGTAAAATATATTTGCATAATATGCATATAAGTATATTTTCTCAATATTTTTCTTCCCTGTGCTTGCTATCGTGACCGCATGCTATGTCATATTTTTGTTTCTGTGATGTTATAACTTTTTATTCTCTAGAATTGAGCAAATAGAGCACTTCCGATACTTTGATTCTACTGGAGCATTTTCATATTTTATTTATATACTGAAAGTACACATACAGTTACCAAGCTGGTGTGCTGCAGTCACAGATCACAAGCGATAGCAAACAGTGTGTTTTGTTTCACCATCAGCTATGTTCAAACATATCCTTCATGCAAATGTGACCACTTTGGTTTTCATCCCAATTTGTTCCCTCACTAGGATCCCACCTTTTTTCAGTCTAGTAGATTGTAGTTGTCAAGGTATGCCAATTTCAGATCTGTAAACTTAATTTGTTATTTATCAGAACTAAACCTTTCTAAAGAAAAGAAGATATATTTTTTGTAAACAGTGTTTCTATCATGTACATTCACAAATAACAACAGATACAGTAGCATAAATAGATCTAAAAAAACAATTCAGGCGTGGCCCCGCCAGTTCTCTGCACGTAGAACTCCTCTGGACATCGATGGGAATTTTTGGCAGATAGAGAGCTTTGGATGCTAGTTAGAGACGTCTGTGGGAGAAAAATGTGTGGATACGCATCTATCAAAAACACCAAAAAGGGATGAAACTGAAAAGGCTGCCTTGGCTCTGTAATGACTCGTGTTCTCGCTAGTGCTTGATTGATCTGTAAGTAGAACAATGATACTTGTGTTGCTGCCATGGTTGTGGTTTAACCCCTCAAATTAACTCTACCCCAGCCAAAACCAGCCCAGCCACGTACGGTCCGTTACTGTTCCCGCCCCTGACTATTTGCAGCTGAGCTGTGAAACTTTGCTCTGGGCTGAAATTCAGCATAGACGAACCTAGGTTGCAAGGTCTGTGTTGTAATCCCGTCCTCGGGGCTGCTCCTTGAACCGGAATGGGCTCCCCACAGCTGCCTTGCAGCAAGGCTGCGATGCGATCCCCCGCTGGTAGCGTTCACCGTAACCCCGGCTGCCAGCGTGTGCAGGATCAGCACCGCAGTCCTGCTGCATCCTTGGCAGCGGCGCAAAGCGGCTGTAACTGCAGTTTTTAAGCACTGTATCTGCAGACAACTCTACGGTATGAAGAGCCTCAAAGGAACCCGTATAGCTGGAGCAGAAAAACTTGGTTTTTAAAAGCTCCTCAGTATTAGCTCCCATTGGTAAACCACAATGTATTATGAGCTCTCTAATATCTCTTCAAACTGTGAAGGGATTACAGAGCACATTGTCGTCATTATAATCAAACTAACTAAACAATTAACACCCTCCCAAAGTACATATTTGGTAGAATTGTTGAAAAGCCCTCCCAAGTTTTTATCCTAATAACAAAATATAATTAAACAAAAATTCTGATTTTAATAAAACATAAAACCGGTAGGCTTTGTTTAAAAAAATTACCCTAATGAAATAATCTTCGAGCAAGTCTTTCAGTAAGTGCCCTAAAGAACTACCCTGAAAAATGGGATTCAAGAAGAGAGTGGTCCCACCCTCATGATTTAATCACAGTTCTCTCTTTTCTTTAAGCTCCAGCTCCTAGAAATCATGTGGTCAGGCAGAGATCTTCAACAAGAAGAAGAGACTTTTTAGTTGTGATAGAAATGTGTACTCCAACTCCCACTGAAATCAGTTCACCAGTGGCTTCAGCCAGGATTTTCAAGCAGATGGAAAATTACTGTCTGGCCAGAGCAAAGAGGCAATGTGCATTTTCAGGACCCTGCATGGGCAAGAGAACCGTGTCTCTGAGTACGCTCCCCCTCTTACCCTTTGCACAGCTGGAGGGCAGTGTGGTACTGCAGCCCCTTTCATGAAAGCGTACTCCCCACCTTGCCTCTCATCGCAAAAAGTGGGCAGTTGCACATTTCAGCTTTTTCATGAGATTCCATATTCATCAGTCTAGCTGAGCTCCATGGGGCACGAGCAGCTTGAACCTTGAACAAATCCAAGTCTTGGTTGGACCTGAAAAAAGCCAGGAAATTCTCACTTAAGGTTAACACTTCATCTTTAACACACATTTTTGTGCCTTTTTTTGCCAATTCCCTTCCTCCAGTCCCAGCACCGCTTCTTACACGCAGACACACACACACAACCATGTGTTAAAAACAGTGTTTGCCTTGACCTCCCATTTTCTGGCACTTGTCCCTTTACGCTAGCTGCAGTGTATGATTTTAACCATAGATGGCTTTAAGACTAAAAAAGGTAATTTCAACCAAATTGCACCAGAGTAATGTATTTCATAGCTAATTAACTCCTTTCTAACTCAACATTACTATAAATAGCATTTACTCATCATTTGTTTGTAAAAGGCATTAAAAAAAAATGGAACTATCTTGTGTTATAGCCCAAAGGGTGAATAAACAGTAGAAATATTATGGTGGTTTAACTCTAAGTTGATTTCATCCCATTGTAAAGATAAACTAAAACCCAGTCTTTTTTGCTGAAGGCACATCTATGTATTTTTGGTATTCTTCAGCAGTGAAAAAAAAAAGAACAGTAAAATGGAATGATGAAGAGATGCTTTATGAAAATATTGATGAATGAATATTCATTTATTAAAAAGGATTTAAAGATTAATTGCTTCCTTTTTTTTTCTGGGGATGGAGGGAGTATGACGACTGTGTGTTTGGCTAAATTTTAATGTTTAATTACGTGTTAAATATCATGTAATGGTTAGTCTTACATAATTTCAAAGAAAAAAACACATGAAAGCATTTTCTTATCGACACACAGGTAGCAAAAGGGACTCTTAAGCATTGAACTACTATATTTCCTAGTGTTTTCTATGGTAGATTAAGGAAAAGGAAAAACTACATCCATTGACTTAGCAAGTTTCTTAATGGCAAACCAACCTCCCTTCAAGCTGGGGCATTGCCTGTTAAGAGCAGAGTTTGTCCTCTGCTTTATATGAAAGCTCTACCTGCCCAGGAGGCAAAAGACCTTTTGATATCAAAACAAGACAGTGGTGTCCTGTTTATTTGTTTCATTAATCGAATCATAAATATTTCAAAACCAAACCAAAAAAACTTTCTCCAGCTATGCTAATTGTATCAGGAGTGCTCATTGTGTTCATTACACTTTTTATTGCTAAGTATTAGTAAGTTTATTTAGAGGAGTCAGGGTACAGACAGATTCCAAGAGGGGTTTTTAAAGTCATCTTGACAGGAGTTCACCAGCCCCTTCCCCCAAAGCCAAAAAATACCCTGAAGATTTGGAAAGCAGACCGTCCTTAAACACAATTGCCATGCTTTGCGTTGGAACAAGCTGTCGCACGCTTGCTTAAATCTCATAGTAGCTAATGATACATGTCACAACTTTTAGGAGTAGATAAAATATTCAGCACCGTAGATGTGATTGCAAGGCTTTTGCAGTCAACAGAAAGGCTCCCTCCGATTTCGGCACGTTTCTGCTCACTTTTAGCAACCCTTCCCAGATCATGAGTAACATCTATGACCTATTCCAGCCCAGCCCGTATTGTAGAGTAGGAAAAATTTATGATGTACCAAGCTTAGTTTTGTGATTGGGAGTATCTGGTAAGAGATGTATTTCTTTGCGTATTTTGGAGCTGATGTATGGATAAACATGATCAATTAATTGCTTAAGTACTACTCATTATATTAAAGGAGTTCAGGTTCTACTAGAAATGATTGGCTATCTTCCCCAAATAAATATGGTCTTATTAGTATCAAGACTATTTCCACAGGTGTTGGTTTTATAGTCACGACTGTCAAAAGAGCAAATAGAAGCAGCACAGCAGACATCTGAAAACTAAACTAAAAGCAGTGGGAATCCCAAGGCTTCTCTGAACTGTTTTTGAACAAAGAATCTCTCATAAGTGACTTCAAACTCCTCCAAATACAGGGTCTGAGCTTTTCTAAAATTAT